AAACTAGATATACATATGATAGTTTAATGCTGAAAATATGTGAAATCTGTATACGAATTACCTCTATTTTCATATATTACATAAAGGCTGATCCATTTCGAGATTCCCTACTTTTTCTTAAGAAAAACATTGAAACTTTATATTTAATGCGGAACGTTTATTATCATTCGGAAGAACATTTTTTGGTATTAATTTATTGAAAATTATCTCTTCMAAATGTTGGCCATGCCTACGTTTAAGATGGTCCATCCGTTGAGTCCAATTTTTGATGACTCGTTCGAGCATTTCGACTGGTAACTAGTAAAAGGCACACGTGATTTTTTGCAGGAAGGCTTCAATTTAAACGGAATTCTCCACTTCGGTTTTAGGTTTAGATTTTAGACTCCACAGGAAATAGTCTAACGGTGTGATATCACACGATTTTGGTGACCAATCGACCGACTCAAAATGTGAAATTATCTGTCCACCCAAGTGTTCTCTCAATAACTCTATTGATTGATGTTTTGTACTGAGAGRGGCAACAAAATCTTTACAGAACGAGAATTAAATTAAACGGTTTGTAAACGTTTTTCAGGCGGAGTTYTTTCCATGACAAAATGCCAAACAATACGGAACAAAAATAACATGACAACTTGACACGAGTGATCTGTCAAAAAACATAAAAAAGAAAACACGAAAAAAAAAAATCGGCTATGGAAAAGTACTTATCATAAAGATATAAAGATTTTCGTTATTTCTGCCGAATAGATCGGCCAGTGTGTGAGTTGTCTGCATCGAGCATTGTTGAGTAATGTCAAAGTGGTTGTTACTGAGCATTTGTACTGTTACAAGTATCAAAGATGAGGAAATACATTCAGRTGTTGGCTTATTTATTTATTTATTAAATGAAAAATAATAATACAATTATTATCTYACGGAGTAAGAAGCACTAGCTGCCAGGGCTTAYRGCTTACTGCTCTAAAATAATTGATGTTAGTAAAGAAGTTATTTGGATYTAAGATAAATTACAATTAGGGAATTAAAYTAACTTTCTMAGGCCAGTTTTGTACAAAAATTCGGCTACCTTGTGGATGTTTTCTTCAGAAAAAGCCTTGAGGGTATTTGAAATGGGTTGGTYATCAAATAGTGCGTTTCTAGTTGCACTAAACCTAGTGCATTCATCGAGAAGATGTTTAACTGTAACCGTTTAGCAGGTGCGAGTG